GTATGAACATCACCTAATGGAGTGGATTATAATCTGATTCATAGAAAACCTACTACATTGTTTTTATTTATTTATTTATTTATTTATTGGTACCGGGGATTGAACTTGGGTCCTTGCGCTTGGGAGGCAAGCAGTAAAACCACTGAGCTAAATCCCTGGCCCTGTGTTTAAATAAATTGACCAGGCTGGTCTTGAACTTGCAATCCTCCTACCTCAGCCTCTTGAGTAGCTGAGATAACAGGCATGTGCTACCATGCCCAGCTGACCTTGGCAGTTTTGAGGAGTGATGCTCAGCTTAGTAGGATGTAGTATTACTTAGAATGTCCCTCCATTGCTTTTTTTGTTTTGTTTTGTTTGTTTTTCAGTACCAGGAACAGTACTCAGGAACTTACACTTGTAAGGCAGGCGAGTTGCCACTGAACTAAATCCCTGGCCCCTTCCATTGGTTTTTTTCTGCTGTCCTCTGGCAATGTGGGTTATGGATTTGGAAAAGAGACTATGGGAATGTTGTGGTGTTCTCACTGCTTCATAACAGAAGGCACATGACATCAACGTGATTGCTCACCAGCGATGTTAACCTCAGTTACATGCTCACCTGGCTAAGTGTTGGGAGTAATTCTACATAATTTTGGGGAAAAATCATTTCACAATTAAATTATGATTAGGCCTAGTTCTCCTGTCCTACAGGCCAGCTATGGGATGTCGCGACAACTACAGTTTGGCCTCCAGTCACAGCTAAAACCTCAATGGTCCGTGATGCTGTGATGCTCCAGGACAAGATTATACCAGCTGAAGACATCCTGGGAGGAACAAAATCTTCATCTGCATAGTTCCTCTTTGTTCTAGATTTTTGCTGCCACTGCTGCCCTCTGAATCACCTTTTACATTTGTTACTCTCCTGATTTACTGAACTCTCTGTCCTGAGTCATCTGTTACATTTTTTTCTCCTGATGGACTGAATAAAGGCGTGGCAAGCTCAGGAACTTTCATCTTTGTTGGCCAGAGCAGCATTGATCAGGCCCAAAGCTCAGCTTCTTCTCTGTCTCTTTTTTTCTATCCTTTCTGTCTAATAAGTTAATTCACCTTGTGCTGTCCTGGCTCACAGGAGACCAGGACTTACTGCAGAGGTTCCAGAAACAACCCTTTTCCCTGTTTCCTACAGCTAAGGTCATATCTTCTAGCTTTGTTCACTGTCCAATTACTGTTCTTTCTCTTCTGTGTTGTTCTTTGGAAGCCACAACCTACAGCCCACATTCCAATCTCCTCACCATGTTTTCACAGAAGTCTCTGAGTCCCCACATGTGTGTGTATGTGAGGTGTGCTGAGCTGCACCTCGAGCCCCAGAAGTGTTTACTGAAGACATTCAATCCCTGTTTCAGTAATGTACATAGTATGTGGAGGGGGAGATCTTTTGTTCTTGGTTCCTAGGTCTCTGCCCTAAAGACCCCCACAAGGGGGCTGCACCTGAGGACATTTATCTGTACCTGGACCTGAGTTAGAGGGGTTTCAGGAACTGAGTGGAATGCTGTAATGAAATGAGGTGTTGAGGTCTTAGTGGGGTGCATGCGCTTTGCAGTGAGAGGGGGCAGAGGGCAGTCTGTAATGAGCTGCTTACCTTGCACAGCTGGGCTCAGCCCTACCTCCATCCCTCCTTTTGGGACTTCCTGCCAATTGAGGTATCAGCAGAATCACATACTCTGCTAAGACAGCAGGACCTGTCCTCTTGTCACACCCCTCTCTGGAATCCAGCAGAGGAAGGACCAGATGACCAATGAGAAGCCTGGAGGGTGGGAGGTCATCTGGAACATTCTAGCCCCAATTAAGCTCCCAGCTGATATAGCCACATGAGGGATACCAGCTACACAGGTGGAGGGAGGGGAATCACCCAGCTGAGCCCAGACAGCCCCCAAAATCTGGAGACAAAGATCAGTGATTTGTAAGGCCTTGCCATTAGAGTGGTTGTTGGTGTAGCAATGGAGAACTGAAGCCCTATCCTCAATTTGCCTGCCCACCCTGGCTTCTACAGCCAGAATTAGTCACTCTTATCACACTGTCCTAGCAAGGTTCCTTATCTAGCATCTGAGCAGCAAAGCTTTGCTAGAGAAAAGCACAGAACCATACTTATTGGCCCTTCACATTTATGACACACAACTCACACGGGCACCCCACACTCCCAGACAGTCCTACTGTACTTTCCCTCCCCAGTTACTTTCCCATTCCCTGGAAAGACTATTTCACAACTTCTTTTCTTTCTTTAAAACCTAATCACCTCCACTTTCAAAGCTAATAACCTTTTCAGTTAGAATCCAGCTTGGCAGCAAGTGTTAGAAATTTTTGAGTAACAATAGCTACAAGTTAATTGGGAGTGGTGGGTCAAGCCTTTAATTTAAGCACAAAGTTGTTTAAGAACTAGAGGATCACTAATTTGATGCCACCCTGTACTACATAGCAAGGCCCTATTGAAAAAAAAAAAAGGAAAAGAAAAAGGGCCAGGGATTTAGCTCAGTGGTTTCGCCACCTGCTGTGCAAGTGCAAGGACCCAAGTTCGATCCCCGGTACCAAAAAAAAAGAGGGCTGTTTGAGCTCTAGTCATGGATGCAGTCTACAAAAAAGAAGAAATGGCAGACTGGCAAACCCCTTCCTTTAAGCATGTATCTGAAAATTACACAAATTGTTATAATGCACTGGGGAGGAATTATTCTTATAACCACTGATACAGGTCTGCAGCAGAAACTGGAAAGTATAGTCTACTCTGTGTGACTGTATGCCTAACTAAATATGGGGGCTCTTTTAAGAAACAAGTAGAGGATGGACAAAGAGCCCTTACTCCCAATCTCAAATGTGTCCCTGCTGTCCTTTCTTCCCAGCCAACAACTGTGGCCAAGTGTTTTGCTTCTGCAGAAGCCCCATCACCTGCTTCATAGTAAATCTCTATTGAACCTTTTTCACTTGCACACCAATATGCCTTTAAAGGTGATCAAAGAAGACCTCTGTCTTGTAAAGGCCATCCTGCTTCTTGTTTCACTGAACTCCATGAGTGACCTTTATTTTCTTCCCATTCCTTCCCACTTCTACAGCACCACTAGCCCCCTTCCTTCCCTGCGGCTGAGTCCCTATCTTGATGGACACAGATCCCCTGTCCCTCTCTAGTTTCTCGTCGTCCTCTTTCTGAGGAACTCTCTTCTGTATATCAGATGCCAGGATTTCATCCTTAGCGCATCATCTCTGCTACTGCTACTATATCACTAGGGATATCTCATCCAGAACCTTGGCTTTATGGACCTCCTGGGGGATGATGGCTGCAGATCTATACTTCCTGCTCCCCCTTCTTCCCAATGTCTCAGTCTTTTAAAAATCTCTGTAGGGGGCTGGGGACTTAGCTTAGTAGCGCCTGCCCGGCAAGCCCAAAGTCCTGAGTTTGATCCCCTCATACTGGAAAAAAAAGACTCTGTAGGGTTAGGGATATGGCTCAGCAGAACAGTGCTTGCCTTGCACACATGAGGCCCTGAGTTCTACTCCTAGTATCACAAAACAAATGAAGTTTCCCCTGCAATGTCTCCTAAGCTTCTCCAGCCTGGTCTAATTTAGAACTCCATTCCCAGTTCCCTGGACTCAGGGAATTGCTTTGCTCATATCCAGCCAGCAACTCCTGTGGGGTGTACTTTCCATCTGGATCTTCTGTTCCCCTTGGGCCTATCCTGTCCCTTCTCAGCCTGCACAAATTTTTTTATTTTTATTTTTTTTGAGACAGAGTTTCCTTGAATTCACTATGTAGCCAAGGCTGGCCTCAAACTCACAGCAATCTTTCTGATTTAGCCTCCTGAGTGCGGGATTATAGGTGTGCACCACCATGCCTGGCTAACCTGTACAATCTTTGCCCTTCCTCACTACTCCCCTCCTGGATCTTACGGCCTTTCTGCTTACAACTCTCCAGTTATTTCCCACTTCAAGGACTAAGAGTTTGGAGCTGTGGGACCTCCAAGCACCCCCACCTGCCCTTCTCATTCACCTGGGCTCCTTCCTGTTCCCCAGCCCTCTCCTTTTTTGTTTTGCTTGTTGGTTTTTGGTGCTGGGGATTAATCCAGGCCCTCTCACACTGCTGTATGCTAAGTATGTGCTCTGCCATTAGGTCCTATACACCCTTAGGTCCCATAATAACTTTTTAACAAGGAGCTTTGTATTTTCATTTTGCATAGGCCCTAAAAATTATGTGGTCAGTTCTGGTTCCAGGGACACAATACCTGAAGCCCTAGGTCACCACCATGCTGACCAGAGGGCCAGGCATATAGTGGCAGGTACTACTCAGCCTGGGACTTGTGGCCCACTGCTTCTCTGCTCCCCAAGCAGGTGGGCACTCAAGAGACCTCAGGCACTGAACTAGGGGCTGGAATGCTCTCCTGGACAAAGGGGTCCCAACAGGCACACAGGGCAAGTGCTGTGAACCCTGGCCAAGGACTCTTTATGCCTATTCCCTAGGAGAGATGTAGTAGCAACTTTGGGGTATCTATTCTAGGATGAACGTGTAGGCCTGGGACTTGTCCTCTTGCTCTGCCTCCATCCCATTGCTGATTGGACTAGGGACAGGCACCTGAACTAGATTGGACCCATCAGATTCTGACTCCTAGACCCTGTTCAGTGAAGCCATTTCAGTCCTCCTGTCCTCAGATTCCAACAGAAAGGCCCAGTCCCCCTCCCCCTTTTTCTTTTTTGAGACAGGGTCCCGTTACATAGTTCAGGCTGGCTTTGAATCACTATGTAGCTCAGGCTGGCCTTGAACTCACAGTGCTCCGCCTGCCTCTGCCTCCTGAGTGCTGGGATTACAGGTGTGGGCCACCTTGGCAGGCTACAGGCCCAGTCTTTTAGAGCCTAGCTGAACGCTGTGTTCCTCTTCCAAACCAGGCTCTGGGGTCTGCTCCAGCAGCCCAGAAGGACAGTTTATGAGGCCCAGGGAGGTCTGCTCTGTGAAAGATCCTGGATGGAAACCTCTACAACACAAAAAGTGACCTGGCTGGAAGCTAGAGACAGCTCTATTGAGAGGAAGAGCAGTGGGTGGGACTTGAATCCCCAGGGTGGGTGTGGAGGGGCTCCCAGAAATGGCGGATAGGGGGTGAAGCAGGACAGGGTCCGAGTGACAAATCCAGATAGCTGCAAAGCAGCCAGGCTTGTTTCAGATGTGGTCCTTCCGCAGCACGATCCCTGGGCTAAAGGCGGCCCCCAGCGGCCAGTGGCGGATCTCGTGACGATGAGACGTGACCAGGTAGTCGAAGTAGTTGATACTAAGTTTCCGAGCGATGTGACGTCCCAGATACTCCATGTGCTTCGGGAAAGGGTGATGGTCGGGTCTCCAGGCACTGGACGCGCCTCTTGGGCACCTCCAGCCCGGCCCTCCCCAGACGCTCTCGCAGGGCTGGGACATACCCTCTCCGAGCGAAATGGCCCCACCTAAAGATCCCAAAAACTGACCGCTGTCATTTTCTGTAGAAGAGGGTGCGTGTCTGGAGCTCGACCCACCTCATAGCGCTCTGACAGCTGAACTAGCACCAGTGGCTCCAGCTTGTGGCCGCACAGGACCAGTCGAAAGAAGCGCCTTCCTTTGGCTGGCGAGGGGAGAGGCGGCTCAGCCCCGGTCTCGGGGCGGGACCCAGGGGCGGGGCCTTCAGGGGGTACCTCCAGGGCGGACCCCGGGGCGAGGTGGGCCTTCTAGAGGAGGCCCGGGGGCCTTCAGTACAGGACTCCGGGGCCAGGCCATCCATGCCACGGTCCATCTGTCCTCTCCCACCCATCTGCCCACCCACCCGGCAGCCCGCCGCTCGAATCACCGTCAGAGCTGAGCGCCAGGCGCACGTAGACCAGGTGCATGGGACCCTGGCACACGGTGCGGCCCCGGATGGAGAAGTGGTACATGCCACAAGTATGGTTCAGCACCAGGCGGCGCCGTGGGAGCGACGAGACCAGCAGCCACAGGCCCACGCACATGCCATAGGCCGAGATGCCCCAAGCCAACTGCTTCTCCGTCTGAGGGGACATTGGTACGGACCAACTGATGGCCACAGCTTGGGGACTGGGTGTGTGGGGGGGTGTTCGGTGCTGGGGGTTGGAACCAGAAGAGCAGACCTGCTTGAGGATGTCTAAACTGACCAGGACCAGGCAGACAACGAAGAGCAGAGTCCCCTTCCAGAGCGTGTCCAGGTAGTACTCTAGCACAAAGACTGCAAGTGTACAGGTGAAGACAACCTCAGTTGCCCACTGCCACAGCCCCCAGTGCCCTGGGCACAGCCTGGGAGCACCTCCTCGCCCTGCCCAATCCCCCTCCGGGCGCCCTCCACCCTGTCCTCTGCCCTCTGCCCTCCTACCGCCAGGCTGCTGCTGTGTGAATGGGTAAAAGCTGTTATTCTTGAGGCGCCTGGCCAGATGCCGCTCCGTGCAGAAGAGGCTAAGGGACCAGAGCTTGAAGCGGCTGCCAGTGGAGGATGTGGGCAGGCCACTGGCCCAGCCTTTGGGGTTCTGGGTTAGGCAGAGGTTGTCAGTCTGGCAGCTTGCCACTGTCACTGCCCACTACCCACAGTCACACTCCTACCTGGAACAAAATCTCCAGGATAGTAGCCTGAGAAGGAGCAGGTGCTCCCAGGGGAATGAAGCCAGGGAGCAGCCCAAGCTGGGCCTCACAGGGGTTCTAGAAGTTCTGGGTGATAGGTTCTAGAAGGGGGCCTTTGTTGACCACCCCTTCTTCATGGACATGCATTTTTTGGCTGTCCATCCCACCTGGAACCTGTTGCAGTCTGGTTCACAGTCCTCACTGAAGGGTGGGTGCCTGGATACCCTGGGCCTATAGGTTGCACAGGAAGCTGCAGGAAGGCATCTCTCTGAGAACCCTATGGCTGAACAGAGCCCCTGCCTCTCCACAGTCATTCTGTCCCCACTTCCTCCTAGACAGCTCACTCAGGGTCGTGAGATGGGACACACAATAGCAGGGTAAAACCTAGCAGTAAGCATGAAAAGGCAAAGACAGCTGCTGGATCAGGAACTCTAGGCCCATCCCAACAACACAGGATCCATCAGGTATAATCCATTCCTCACCCAAGGACCACACAAAATTCCTAAAAACATTTTATTGAGACAAAATGTTCAAACATCCCAAACTAGGAAAGACTGCAGGACAAGGGTAGCCAGGTTTAGTCAGGAACCGCCTAGCTGGGGGAGGCATGGCTGGTGAGCAGCTGCTCCAGACACCACTGGACTTCCTCCACACCCCGGTAGGCTCGTTTCAGGCCCCTGGGGAGGCAGCGGCAGGATTCCAGGTTGAGATACAGCAGGCTGGGGCAGCTACTGACCACAGTGCTGTGGATAGGGCAGACCAGAGGGAAGTGAGCTGCTGTCCAGAGAACCTGGGCTCTGATGGGCTGCAGACAACCAGGGATCCCTGTGCTCTAGCCCTGGCCTGCCATTCACAGTAATCCAGGCCCAAGCCCAGTACCTTGGCATCCCCAAGGCCAGTGCTAAGAAGGAACTTGGTCCTTCTTAGACCCCCTTCTCAGACCCTGGAATCATCAAGCCAGGCAGCACACTACCTCAGGGCCCCAGATGGATAGGGCAGGAAGCAAAACTAGTTCCAAGGGAAAGGGATGCTGACCTGACCGTGTTTGGTGTGACCCGGGTAGCCCTGAGGTTGAGGGAGCACAGGGCTGGGTGTGAGCCCGAAGGGGTGCCTGAGAAGGCAGCCAGTGCCTGCTCCAGATCCTTCTCGCTGAAGCCCTGGCCACTCAAGTCCAGTTCGCGCAGGGTGTGGTACCACTTCTGGGTCAACAAGGAGCTGCCCTCCTTGACTAGAGTCAGCCGGTCAGATACACCATACAAGCCCAGGTGCAGCTGCTCCAGCTCTGACATGAGAGAAGTAGGCATGGGCCACAGGGTAGGCAAGGGCCATATCCCACCTACCTAGCCATCACCCCAGAAAAGCTGACCTGGACATGGCAGATCATGCAGGCCAGCAGGTGTAATACGTGTACAGCCACGAAGATCCAGCAAGCGCAGGTTGGGGGAGCCATGTAGCAGGCGGCCCAAGACCTCGTTGCTCACAAAGTTGCAGGTGGAGCTGGCCAGGCAGAGCTCCTCAAGGCTGGGGAAGCCTGGTCCCAGGGCTACCCCTCTCCCAGAAGGCTTGGGCAGCCATGTCAGATTCAGCAGCCGTAGCACCTGGAGGCAAGGCTCAGGCTGCAGGGAGGGAGGGGGTTGACAGGTGGGAAAGGCAGGACATCAGGTACCTGCAGCTGGGGGCAGCCTTTCTGCAGAGCCTCAATAGGCAGCTGCAAGGGAGTGTTGTTGTGGTTGATGCTGGTGCTCACTTCCAGGACTTGTAGGTGGGGGCAGCAGCTGCTCTGCAGAGGTGAAACACAGTGGGTCATCAGCCTGGCAGCAGTTGCCAGCTCAGGATCTGACTTTGCCCCACCCCCACTGCCAACCTACCAGCAGTGCACCCAAGATGGCTGTTGTCTGGGAGCTGTAAGTCAGCCATAGCTTGCGCATTCGGGACCCTGCCTCCTCCAGAAAGCTTACCACAGCTGTGGACTCCACCTGGGGACCCACGACAGAGGTGCCTGTCACCTGGGCCCAGTCTTCTTCAGGGCCCCTTGGGACACAGGGCTCACCATGGAGTGCTGTAGGTTCAGGCTGTGGAGCTGGCCACAGGCTTTAGCTAGCATGACCAGAGTGTCAGCAGTCACAGCGTGGCAGTCTGAAAGCTTGAGGAAGGTGAGCCGAGGACAGGACTCGCTAACCAGCTATGGGAAGACACAGGCCACATGGGGAGAGGGCAGGCAAAGGTCCACAGAGAAAGACACTGGTGGTCATGACAATCCTACTGTACAGCCCCAGCTATGACCTGTGTTCTGCCCATGTCATGCACACCTGGGTGCCTCTAGAACTGGCCCCCTCCTGCTGAAGGGTGACAGCAGAAAACCTAGACATCCCCACAGAGAAGCACTGAACCACTCCCTGGAAGTTCTGGACAACCCCAAGTGTTACAATTTGTGTGCAGGACAGCCTTGAGTGCTCACCTTCAACACAGGGTGTACCTGAGACTTCCAGTGGATGAGGGTCAGCCTCTGCAGCTGTGAGAACCTGGGCGACATAGAGGCCCAGCTGCACTAGTGTTCCCACGCTGCCCCTGCAGCCAGTGTCCTCCCCTCCCCACTAACGTAGGCAGACAGAGGGGTAAGAGCAGGGGCCCCTCACCGATTGGGCATGAGCCACTCCAGGGAAGCAAGAAGCTTCTTTTCCGCCTTGACATTGCCCTTGACAGCGCGGCCAGCCAGCGGGGGCGACAGAGTCACGGTATGCCAGAGCGCGGGCTGGGAGGCAGCCTCGTGCCAGCGGCGGCACACACGCGCAGCCCTGGGAGAACAGTTCGTTGAAAGTGCCCTGCGTTTTGGGGGCGATGCCCGCGACAGGGTTTACTAATGGGGAGTCGATCTGCCCCTAACCAACAGCCCAGTGGAGACCTCTGCTCAAAGCCCAGTTCCTGGGGTTCCAAGTGAATTCCCGATACACGCCGGAGCACAAGTGTATGGCACTAAGACACTTTCACCCTCTGCGGCATCCAGCCACCCTCGCCGTGGGCTACCGCCAGAAATCCACCTGCAGCTTACACGAGGTGGGGTAGTATACCTGCCGAGGAAAGGCATGGGCCCATCGGCTGCTACCAGCAGGCCGAAAATTTCTACCAGGACCTCCAAAGGAATGCGGTCTCCCCAGCCCGCGTCGGGCCCTTGCTCCGGAGCGGGCGCTGGCTCAGGTCGGGGCCGGGGCCTGGGCTTGGCCGCTGCGACAGAGCCCGACGGCGGAGGCCGCTGAGCGCGGCGGGAGGCGCGCCTATGCGCTCGGGCGCGGGAGGGCCCCAGACCGGGCAACACGAGCAGCATGCTGTCTGCCTGCATTAGGTGGTACTCAGAGCCGCTGGGCGCCAGCCGGTCCCACCACCAGTCCTCGGCAGAGCGGTCCCGCGACCCGACCAGCAGCGAGCTCCGGGCTCGGCGGATGGCTCTGCGCCGAGGTCTCCGAGCCGGTGGTGGAGCCATTGCCGATGATGGCGTCGTGGGCGGAGCGGAAGTAGGATCTGGCGGAAGGGGCGGAGCCACCTATCCCTGTCTTCCCCTGGGGCTCCGCTGGGAGACCTGTCCAAAACTCCGCTTCCGGGGAGGGCGGGCCGGCGCAGCGACGGTAGCTCGGCGGGTCAGCGGAGTGCACCTCCAGGTCTGCAGGGCTTTGTCGGGAGCCGGGATTTCGCGCTTGCTGGCAGGAAGTCAGCCACAGAGCAGGCAGCGCTGGGGCCACGCCTCGGACGCTGTCGGCCACAGCCCTTCGCCAGCGGCAACTCTGGGTTCGTAGAAGCCCCTCGAGTGCTCTCGGTTCCCGGCTTGTCGTGAGAAGGCTGCAGTGTTTTGGCAGTGCAGAAGGCTGGTCCTCTGTGGCTAACAGGGTCCGCTGAGCTCCTTTCCTCGACCAATCCCCGTGCTGCGCCTTGTGCGGGCTCCGTGGTATGTGCGGCCACCGGCTCCCATCACCCCCTGTCCCCTCCAGGTGCCCCAGAGACCTGCTCTGTCTCTGCCCCTGTCCCGCATGCTTGTCTGTTTCCTTCCAGCTGGAAGAGGTCTTCCAAGGCCAGAAGAGCAAGAGTGTCTTAGGACCTTGGTGGAGAGAGAGTGGCCTGCGACTTTCACCCTGCCCTGGAGAGCCCTCTTTGGCCTCATGGCAGCACCGCCGCTGGGCCGTCTGGTGCTGACCCACCTGCTGGTGGCCCTCTTCGGCATGGGCTCTTGGGCTGCTGTGAATGGCATCTGGGTGGAGCTGCCCGTGGTGGTGAAAGACCTCCCAGAGAGTGAGTGGAGAGGTGGGGAGGCGGGACTGAGGCTGTTCTTTGTCTCTCCTCCAGGTGCCCTGACGCAGCCTCCTCCCCCTCTACAGGTTGGAGCCTCCCCTCGTACCTCTCTGTGCTTGTGGCGCTGGGGAATCTGGGTCTGCTGGTGGTAACCCTGTGGAGGCAGCTGGCCCCGGGCAAGGGCGAGCGGGTCCCCATCCAGGTGGTGCAAGGGCTGGGCATAGTGGGCACAGCCCTGCTGGCCCCTCTGTGGCACCACGTGGCCCCAGTGGCTGGGCAGCCCCACTCTGTGGCCTTTCTGACATTGACATTAGTGCTGGCACTAGCCTGCTGTGCCTCTAACGTCACTTTCCTGCCCTTCCTCAGCCACCTGCCACCTCCTTTCTTACGGTCTTTCTTCCTGGGTCAAGGCCTCAGTGCCCTCCTGCCCTGTATGCTGGCCCTCATTCAGGGTGTGGGCCGCCTTGAGTGCCTGCCTGCTTCGGCCAATGGCACCTCTGAGCCCATCTACTTCCCTGAGCTTTTTTCTGCCAGCACCTTCTTCTGGGCACTGACTGCCCTTCTGGTCACTTCGGCTGCCGCCTTCCAGGGTCTCCTGCTGTTGCTGCCATCACCACCGTCTGTACCCACAGGCGGTCCAGCGCAGGGCCTGCGAGTGAGAGAACCAGGAGTGGAGGAGGAAGAGGAAGAGGTTTCACCATTGCAGGAGCCACCAAACCAGGCAGCAGGCACCACTGTCAGCCCAGACCCTAAGGCCCATCAGCTGTTCTCAGCCCGCGGTGCCTGCCTGCTGGGCCTGCTGGCCATCACCAGTGCACTGACCAATGGTGTGCTGCCTGCTGTGCAGAGCTTTTCCTGCTTGCCCTATGGGCACCTGTCTTACCACCTGGCAGTGGTACTGGCCAGCTGTGCCAACCCTCTTGCCTGCTTTTTGGCCATGGCCATCCTGTGCAGGTGCGTGAAGGCCCCAAGCCCTGACGGGAGAAACTCAGGGGACTGGATCCTGCACAGCCAGTCCTGAATCTTAGCCCATCCCTGGCAGGTCCCTGGCAGGGCTCTGTGGGCTCTTTCTGCTGGGCATGCTCTTTGGGGCCTACTTGATGACATTGGCAGTCCTGAGCCCCTGCCCTCCTCTAGTGGGCACCTCTACAGGCATGGTCCTTGTGGTAAGTACAGAAGAGATGAGAGATGGGGAAAGCTTGCCCTAGGGTAGGAGTATCACACACCCAGCCTGCTGCTGTGACTCTCCCCTCAGGTGCTGTCATGGGTGCTGTGTATGGGCCTGTTCTCATATGTCAAGGTGTCGATAAGCTCCGTGCTACATGGTGGGGGCCGGCCAGCATTGCTAGGAGCTGGCGTGACCATCCAGATGGGCTCCCTGCTTGGTGCTGTTGCCATGTTCCCTCCTGCCAGCATCTACCACGTATTCCACAGTGGACAGGATTGTGTGGACTCATGTGGCCGCTGAACTTGAGCAGGTGGGAACTCATGCCACCCTACTTGTCTCCACCTGGGGCTTCCATAAGTCCCTGAGTACCTGCAAGTGGCCCCGGGAGGCTGACCACACGCTGACCCACTCAGGGCACTGGCACACTCCACGGGAGACCCTGGCACTTCAGGCCAGGGTGGGGACCAAAGAACAGGAATGGGTTGAAACCTAGGGCCTTTGTGTGGCTTTGCAGAATAAAACATCTTTATTCAGTGGGCAGTGGTTAATCCCATGAGCACTTCTCCCTGTATAGGCCAGCTGGCCTCCCAGGAGCTTTCTGTGGCCTATTCAGCAGGTACTGTCTCTCTCCTCAGGTCTTGGCTGCTCTCTTAGATTCTGGAATCACCCCTTGTTTCTTGGAACTGCCTTGCAGGGGAAGGCCAGTTCCCAGGGCCTTCGTGGGCTTATAGGCAATGTGGTGCCTCTTCTGCGTGGAGCCTGTCTGATAAGTAGCAGCCAATGCTCCTTAGCATCTCTCAGTGTGAGGGTCAGGCAGGGTTGGGTTGTGACCTGCTGAGGTTCCTACTGCCCTTTCATGACCTGGGAATGACCATACTTGCCCATTGGCTGCCCAGGAATGTCCTGCCAGGGAATTTACACCTGGCTTTGGTACAGTGTCCAGGCACAGAGGGTTGCAGTGAGGAAACTTAGAAGATCCAGGAACTTTTAGTCTGAGAGCATTACCTCCCAATCTACAAGCCACCAACTTCTAGTTTCCAGGTCTTCCTGCCATCACAGCCCCCACATGCTCTGTTGAGCCAGACATGCTGCATCTGCCCCCTGGGCTGCTGGCAGAAGGCTGGTCCCAAGCAAGCTGAGCCTTTGCTTATTACTTAGTTTTTTGGGGGTTTTTTTGGTACCAGGGATCGAACTTGGAACTACTGAGCTAAATCCCGCACCCTTAGTTTTGTTTTTTTGAGATAGAGTATCTGCATTGTTTAGGTGGGACTTGAACTTGTGATCCTCCTCCCTCAGCCTCCCAAGTGCTAGGGTTATAGGCATGTGTCCTTGTGCCTGGCTAGGCCTTTGTTTCGTGGCATCTTCAGGGAGTATTCTTTCAGTGGGCCTATCCTGGGCTTGATGTGCTGTGCTCAGCTGGGGCACAAATGGCTCAGCACTGGAGCTCCCTGCTGGGAGGGCCACTGGAAAGCAGTTGAGCCAGGCAAAGACTGTAGTATTCCCAGGAGGGTATCTGGGTTTCTGCCTCCTTGTCTTGCAGGCAGGCAGGAGAGGGCTGTGGGAAACACATCCTCCCCAAGTAGCAGAACCCTGAGCTGTAAACCAGTGTGACTGGCCCAGTGTGAGTCCTCATTCTCACGGAGGAGGTTCCTGCTGCTGTAGAACAGAAGGCCAGAAGAGTGGTTCTCACCCGTGCTGACTGTGTTCCTTCCTGCCATTTTTCTAGTCTGAATGCTTTTCTGAATTTTTTCTTTTTCTTTCTTTTTTTTTTTTTTTTTGATATCCGGGATCGAACTCGGGACCTTATGCTTTCAAGGCAGGTGGCGGAACCACTGAGCTAAATCCTCCCCCCTTTTTTTAGAGTAGGGAAAATTATTGAGAGAAAGAAAGCTTCTGTCTAAGAGATAGAAGGGGAACCAGAAAGTGGGTTCCCCCGCTTTTCTGAATTTGAGAACCTCCTGTCCTTGACTTGGTTGGCCCCATGGCTTGGCAGGACTAGCTGAGTAAGGCATTCCAAGGCAGCTCAGCCCAGTCCTGAGATAGAGGAGAGCATCTCAACAAGGTTGCTTCCGTCTGGAGAGCAGGCAGGTACTGAGGTGGTGAAGGTTGGGGTGAGCTTCAGGAGTTGCCCAAGGTGGTTAGTGGAGAGAGAGAACCAAAAGGATGGGGCTGAGGTGGGTGGAGTCAGTAGGACTGCTAAGGTCAGCAGGACTTACCCCCATGCTGCCTTCTCTTCCAGCACTCTGCCCCTGTCCACCTGGGCTGGAGGCTGGTGAGGCCCCTCCCAGCTCTTCTCTGACCTCCTTATCACAGTAGATGATCAGAGGTTCCTGCAGCCTCCATCCTGGAGCCACAAGTGCTGTGTCCAGAGTGGGCCATAGAGGAGTGAGAGGCATGTCCAACCCTGCAAACATGCATGGACTCCTGCAAAGAAGGGGCCTGGGCTGGAGCTAGGCACGCTGAGGAACCCACTGCTATTTGAAGTCTCCAGGGCTTTCCTGTCGTGCTCCAGGAAATGGGACAAGGGTCAAAATAACAAGGGGAGAGAGATAACAAGCCCAGGACTGAGGCAGTTCCATCAAGCATATGACCCTTCACACACCACAGGGACCTGCTTGGAGGAGACCTCCCCAGGGAAGGCAGTATCTGAGGCCCAGAGGGCATGAGTAGGAGCGAGATAGAGCCCCCAGGCCCACTGTTCTCTTTCCACCACGAAGAAAAGTCTCCTTGGTACCTTGAAGTCAGAGAAGGGCCAGCCTCCTTACCCAACCCTTGAGTGCTGGGACAAGGCTAGCATGGCTCTGATAGAATGACAAGGTGGGGCCTATCACTCTTGGCACACTGGGGCCCTAGACAGGTGTGAGTTCTGCAATGGTAGGTGTGAACCGGGAGAATAGACAACCCCACCTTCAGATGTTTGTTGGTTGGTTGGTACCAGGAATCAAACTCAGGGCCTTGAGCTTACTAGGCAGGTGCAGTGCCACTTAGCTAAATCCCTGGCCCTCCAGCCTCAAATGTGCATCTGCTTAGATCCCCTCTCCTGGCTTGGGGACAGGACAGTGGGCTTAACAACACTCTGTGGAATCCAAAGGGAATTCTCAACTTCCTTGTGGCCAAAAAATAAGAGTATGGTGGCACATGCCTGTAACCCCAGCACTTGAAGAAACTGAGGCAGGAGGATCACTGTGAGTTCAAGGCCAGCCTGAGCTACATAGAAGACCTTGTTTTTTAAAAGAAAGAACCAGGGGCGGGATTTAGCTCAGTGGTTCCGGCGCCTGCCCTGCAAGTGAAAGGGTTCAATCCCTGGTACCAAAAAAAACACAAAAAACAAAGCTTTTGTACATAGGGAGGGGAGAGGGCTTGGGGGGAATGGGATAAAATTTTTAAAAATGAAATTTATTTTTATCAAAAGGATATGGGAGTGGTCAGGGACGGATATGGCCATCCACATTTGGGAATCAACTTCTCTGTGCCCCGCCCCAGGAGGGAGACCTCATTGCCCACCTCCATTGGATCTGGACTACTGCACTTTTCACTGCAGCTTCTGAGACCTTAGAGGCCACTTGGGTTCTAGTGGGGGTTAATCAAAGCACCTCAGGGGAATAAATCAGTCCACCGTAAGATCTGTCTTGGGGGTATCAATTATCTTAATAACTATTAAAATTACTCAAAAGTTTTGAAGGAGCTTGCCCAAGAATGAAGGTACCCAGAAACAAACAGAGCAAAGAGGTAGAGAAACGGAACATCATGGAGTCATCTGGGTCCACCTGTGCCAAAAGCTACCCCAGCCCTCTGGATCTTCCCACTCAAGCTCCCATAGACCCCCAGATTTCTAAAAGTATACCTGATTCATCTTCCGAGTTCTCATCCCCACCCCAGGCCCTTATTTCTCCAATTGCCTGCATTTCCTAGCCTTCACACTACTTTTACTCTAGTTCCCCTAGTTTGCTTAAGCAACAGCCCTAATGGTAACTCCCAGGGACTGAGGAAGAGACCACCACCCATCTCATCACCATCACAGTTCTGGCACATCTAGGGCGCAGGGGCAGGCCCACTAATGTCTGAGCATGGCTGACTCCTGGCTTGGTAGAAGATTGGTGGCTTTTTATTCAGAAACAAAGAACTGTGATGTTCTTCATTCTGAGAACCCTAGAGCAAAGCCTGATGATACTAGCTTGGGCAGGGAGCCAACTGCTCAGCAGAGTGCCCTGGAAGGAGTGTACACTCAGCACAGTGGACCCCTAAACAAGGTATGATGGTTTAGAACTAGTGTCCCCCAAAAGTCTCATGAGTTGGGAGGTGGGACCTACCTGATCAGAAGAGGCAGGTCACTGGGAGCCTGGCCTAGAAGGTTGTATTCCATCTCCTTTTTCTCTCTCTGCTTCCTGGCCTGGTTGAACAGCTTTCTCCCCAAGGACTTTCTACCATGCTGTTTCTGCCTTGAAGCCAAACATGGACTGAACCCACTGAAACTGTGAGCCAAAATAAACCCTGCCTCTTTCAAGTTGAGGCTGTTATGTATTTTGTCCTCTCAACAGGAAAATGACTAATACACCAAGGCCAAACTAGCAAGTGTGCCCTTGACTTCCCTTGTGTGGCCACCTTGGGGCTCTGTTGAGGTGGTTCAGCTGAGGAAGGTCCTGCCAACTTCTCAGTGGGCCTAGCTCTGATGTTCTGGGAGGGTCAGATGCCAGGGAGCCTGACTCAAGGCAGGAAGGTAATCAGGGACATACTCAGTAAGGGAGCTGAGGGTAGGAGTCTGGGAAAGGAGCCAGGAGAATGGTTAATCAAAGCACCTCAGGGGAATAAATCAGTCCACCGTAAGATCTGTCTTGGGGGTATCAATTATCTTAATAACTATAATATCTTAATAACTTAATTAATAACTATAATATCTTAATTAACTTAATAACTATTAAAATGACAAGAACTATATGTCCAAAAGTCTGAGCATTCTGGTATGTCAAGACTGTGGGAGAGCTGGGGATGTAGTTCAGTGGCGTCACGCCTGTGGGAGAGGGCTTTCACCATAGTCTCCACAGTCCAAGGAAATTAAGATGCTTGGGGGATGGGAACCAAGGGTTAAAGAAAGTAGAAGCTAAGCAGGGCATGGTGGCACACACCTATAATCCCAGCACTTGGGAGACTGAAGCAGGATTGCTGTGAGTTCGAGGCCAGCCTAGGCTCCATAGTGAGCTCAAGGGCAGTCTGAACTACATAGAGAGAACCTGTCTCAAAAAAACCCCAAAACCAAAATAAAACAGAGCTCAAGGAAAAAAAAAAAAAAAACAGACCTTAAGGTATAGCTCAATAGCAGAATATCTGCTTAGTATGTTTTATCCATAGCATTGCAAAAGTAAAGATTTTGAGAGCCAGGTCCTGAGTTTGATTCCCAGTACTGGAAACAAACAAACAAACAAAAGAATAAATAAGGGCTGGGGTTATATCGCTTCTACCTCTTGGATTTGACTAAAAGTAAAAACTAAAGATTTTGAATAAACAAAGCACATTATTGGGGTCTCTGGTGGGAAACTGTGTTTAGAGTATACCTTCTCAAGGTATTTGATTGTTCAGCTTGGTGCCTGTCATTTTCTTTCAACTATTTTACTGTGTATTTGTAGATAACCAAATAACAATACAAACAATTCTTTTTTTTTTTTTTTTTTTGGTACTGGAGATCAAACTCAGGACCTTGTGCTTGTGAGGCAGGCTCCGGAACCACTGAGCTAAATCCCCAGCCCCTTTTTAAAAATTTGGTGGGTTTTTTTGTTTTTTGGTATCGGGGATTGAACTTGTGACCTTGTACTTTCGAAGCAGGCACTGGAACCACTGAGCTAAATCCCCGAAACAATTCTTTTGCTTGCGCAGCAGGCTGTGAGACCACTGAGCCAAATCCCTGGCCCAGCAATTCTTTTTTATAGACCTGAAAGTAAATTCTGTCTCTTGAAGGTTTAATTGATTTCCCTTGGCCAGTGGTGGAAAAAGCCACTGCTAAGTTACTTTCAAAAGGCCTTATTGTGATTCTTTGACTTCTTAAAACATCCCCAGCCTCCCATTATTAATGATGTTGCGGCTGGGAGCCAGGTACCACCCCAAGGGTGATGGTGGGGGCTAACACATTTCTGCTGCAGGAGGGCGGCTCTCTGGGATTTGTAAACTTCATACCAATAGAAAATTAGAGATATAAAGTTTAAGGAAAGGAAGATATTTTATTGGACACTTTATTGGAAAGGAGAAACAGGGCCGGGGATTTAGCTCAGTGGTTTCAACGCCTGCTACGCAAGCGCAAGGACCCGAGTTCGATCCCGGTACCGAAAAAGGAAGAAGAAAAAAAAAAGAAAGGAACAAGTAGGAAAGATAGCTACCATGATAAATCAGAGTAGGGGGCTCCAGAAAGGTAGATGACCTGAGGGAGGGCCCTTTATTCTTAGCTGCTTTTTTTTTTTTTTTGGTATCGGGGATCAAACTCAGGTCCTTGTGCTTGTGAGGCAGGCGCCAGAACCACTGAACTAAATCTCCGCCCCCTCTCGGCTGCTTTTTATTGGGTATTAGGATCCTGTCTAGGATCTGTCATAATTTGATTGGCTATTTTAGGCCCTAGGGTCCCACCCCACATACTACCATTGGTTTGTTAAGAGGGCTTTACATACAAGGTTGAGTTAGCAGTTAAGTAAAGGGAAACATAGTGAAAATAGAAAAATATATGTATATGCTGTCTTTTAAGTGGCCTCCCCTTGTCTTCTTTGTAAGGTGGAGAGAGATAGCAAGGCTGATTTGATTAGGGCACCTGCCTGGCTTATCAGGGTTTTTTTCTTGTCTTGTTAATTGCTTTCTCCTTGTCTTGTTAACTCTTTCTAGTCAGGATTAGCCAAAAAGCTTATTGAGGCCTTTATCCTATTATTTCTGTGTCTGTCTGTCCTCTTTCTCTACAATGACTAATCAACTCTACCGTATGCTAATGGTGTGTTCTAAGAATAATAGTCTTACCTTTTTTTCTAGGCAGTTTTGTAGGTCTTCCCCTTACAAGCAATGGCTTCCCTGACAGCCCAGGGATAATGTCATGTCCTTAGTGCTGTGCTATGCCTCATAGGCTGCTTAAACCCAGGCAAGTGTTTTGTTCTGTGAGTTTTGTTTTTGTTTTGTACTCAAGATTGAACACAGGGCCATCACATTTAAATTTTAAATTTTTAGGGTCGGGGATTACTAGGAGTTCAAGGCTAACCATGGCTACATAGTGAAGTTCAACTCCAGCCTGAACTACATAGCAAGATCCTGTCTCCAAGAAAAACAAAGGCGGGGTGGGGGGGGGGGGTTGGGGATGTAGATCAGTGCCAAGCTCATGGTTTCACCTCATGATATTGAAAATAAAAAAGGTCTATTGCAAGTACTGTGAGACAGAGTAAAGAGGCAGACAGATCCAGGATTGTAGAGTGTAATTTACTAGGGATTCACTGATAGTAGTGTGGTCCTGGGTGGCTGTAAGACCAGTTTATCCCTGTGATTTGGGTCAGAAGGAGGGGCATATATATTTGTCAGGACAAAAGAGACTTGATCTAAGCCAGAATGTTTATCTCAAGCTTATATCAAAGAGTCAAGCACATTACAGCTGCTGATGTGCCAGGGTCCAGTCATAAAGCTCCATGAACCATTCTAATAGTTTTATTTACAACATGTTGGGAAATCAACCAAGGCTACTCAAGGACAGTCACAGTCACAGCAGTTGTGACTCAGAATGGCTGTAGTCAGGTCAAATTCAACCCCTATAGACTGAAGTCATTTAAAACATGTTCTATGACCATAAGTTAGAAATTAATTTTAAAAACTAGAAAGCAAGGGCTGGGGATTTAACTCAGTGGTTCTGGTGCTTGCCGCTCAAATGCAAGGACCCTAGTTCGATCCCCAGTACCAAAAACAAACAAACAAACCAAAACTAGAAAGCAATAACAGAAGGAGAGGTGCGAGATTCATAACTTTTATGTGGGAAAAGTAAATACATTCCTAAATAGCCAAAAAAGTTATAAGGGAAGAATGAATGTACTACCTGCCACAACTTACAAGGTGAATTGAAAGGAGTGGTAAGAGGAAAACTTAGGGCTAGGGGCACAGCTCAGTGGCAGAGTGCTTGCCTAGCATGTGTGAAGCCCTAGGTTCAATCCCTAGGACCAAAAAAGAGAAAAGCTTGTAATAGTAAACTTCTGTATTTAAAAATTAGCACTTTTGTCTAGCTGAATCCAAGGTTGGGGTCACCTCTAAACAAGGACAGGGCCTGGGTGTAGCTCAGTGGTAGAACAATTGACTGGCATGCACAAGGCCCTGAGTTCAATCCCCAGCACCAACCAACCAATCAACCAACAAACAAAAGCAAAGACAGTAGTTTGCAAAGGCAGAGGCTGGTTGGGATTCCAAAGAAAGAAGCAGCAACACTGGGTGATCAGTCCATGGTGCACATCTGTGTGGAAACCAGGCTTAGTAATGTCTATTTCAGTGTTGTATGAAAGGAGAGAAGGTTAGCAATGTCTATTTCAACTCCTTTTCCCCATAGGACAGTGCTCCAGTTCTTTTTTGTTGCTGTTTAACAGTTTACTCTATGGGACACAGCACATTTTGTTTGCTTGTTTATTAATTGATAAGCGTTTGTTTTTTTCTACTATTTGACTGATATAAATAATGCTGCCACGAACATTCATATGTAACAGATTTGTGAAGTTGTGTGTTTCCATTTCACGCAGAAGTGGAATTTCTGTGCCTTATGATCACTCTGTAACTAATAATTTCATATGTTCCGAAGTTGCTAGACTGTTTTCCACATGGTTGCCCCATTTCCTTCTTTCTTTCTTTCTCTTCTTATTGTTATTATTTCTTTTTTCTTTGGTTTTTTCAAGACCGGGCCTTGATACTTAGGCCAGGTTGGCCTTAAACTCATGGATATCCTCCTGCCTCAGTCTCCCCAGTGCTGGGATTACAGGCATACACCACCACACCTGGCTAGGTTGCCCCATTTTCAATCCCACCGTCAATGAATGAGGATATCAGTTCCTCCCAGGATGTCAGGTGTGATGGTGCATACCTGCAACCCCTGGTAGGAGGTTTGGGACTCCAAACTGGTAGGAGAATTGGGAGTTCAAGTGTAGCCTG